ACTCTGTGGTAATGCCAGGTCGTGCTGTCTGCTGATGTAACTTGCCTAGGGTCCACAGCGAGAACCAGGCGCTGCTGACTTGATCCGAGTCGACCACAGTGTTGTCGGGTAAGACGTTGGTCACCCAGAACCAGAGCCAATTCTTGGTCTCGAAAGAGTACCCTATAATGACCGGAGTGTTGGCGGGAGGAATCATTTCTGGATGAGAAAGGGCTGAGGTCGTAATGTGCGGGGATATAACGAGAACGATTAATTTAATTGTGGTTTAAACAAACCTTCTGGCTTTATACCTGCTCTGCCAAGGGCCGCACCCAGCCTAGCTTGCATTGTCCAAGTTGCGATAGCTTAGTCACGCACTCAGATAGGAAAAACCGCCACTGGAAATGGTAGACACCGGTCCAAGCGCGCTGCTATGTGCAGCGCGCCTGATAGTCTGGCCCCCGCGGAGGCAGTTGTATTGTTGTTTTGGTGCTATGCGACCAACCCTAAATGGCAATGGCCCCTCCTTCTACTGGGCCGAGTTCCCTAAAGGCTGGCAAATACGTACCAACGACGAAGTCAGACGGAGGAATTTCCACGTTGAAATCAAATGGAAAGTAACGATCGCCAACTACTCCACCGCAAGTCCATGTGGATGAGCCGTCTCGGAAAATTCAGAGGTTATGTAAAACCCATCCGTCTTTACATATTTTCTTCAATGGGAGCTGTAAAGCAAGAGTCCATGTATTCTACTGTGTGACCGTAGAGTATGCAATCATTTCAAAGCCATTTGTTCCATCAGAATACGCGAAATTGGTAGAGTCAAGTGTTCAGGAAACGCAGACGCCACGGCTTAGCGCCCAAAGGAGATGGTCCTGATTGTTGGGCTGACCGGATCTCCGCCTGCCTTGACGTACCAGACCCATTTGCAGAAGGGACCAGCTAAGGCCGTTTAAGCTCATTGCCCTATCACGCTCGCATAGGGCCGATTGTGGTTATTATTAACGCCCACCATGAAACCGACGGTTTCTACGAGTGAATTCGGGACCCTTGAATGGTACCCTGCTAGGCACGTTGCCGGGGGGCGGCTTGTGGAAGCGGTTACCAGGGTATGCTCCACAGCAGAATCGCACTCTCTGGAGACAACAATGCGTTCCCGATGTCTGTGGCATGATTGCGGGCTTTGTCCGTCTCGGTTGCGGCTGACAAATCGCTGAGACGCACCTATAAAGCCCACAATGGCCCAGACTTGGATTCTGCACTTGGTTATACTTCTCCGACCTTGCTTCACATCCTCACCCTATCCCTGCTAGACGCATTCACCCTACACACCTTCTATTTCTTACACGATGGGATTCTTTACCTCATCCCAAAAAAAAGCAGAGAAGAAGAAACAACAAGAACAAGATGAAAAAATCAAGTATTGGTATCTCGATCTTTCTTCGTTTGTCTACGCCATCCGGGTACTTTGCACATCCACCAAGGCTAACATCGAGTCCTTGAGTGTCGCTACAGTGAGTATCAGACTAGTGTGCATGATTCAACGGGAGACTAATCATCTGAACTTTGTAGGACGTAAATATCTGCCAAACACTAATCCTGAGCATAACCAGAGAGTATGCCCGAACCGCTTACCAGTGCCACAAGCTTGTTGAGGGTCTGGCATCGCACGGACTGGGAATGACCGATTTCCCTATGTTCACCCCGTTCACAATTTGTGATGCTTCAACGTACGTCACTGGTGCATGAGAGCGAGTCCGACGAGAGCATTGAATTAACCCATCTTTCACAGACACATGGCAAGGATCGCTGAATTACTTGCATTTATACATAGGCCCGACCTCTATCCAGTAGCAAAGGTTTGCGAGCAGAACATCATGTTCCGTGACTTTGGATACAAGAAGATCGCAGAGGTTTTCGATAGCAGCGTCGAAAGGCGGGGAACGATTCGGTTCGTTAATGCCTTCAGGGACAGCCTGGGAGCGCTCGGAGCCCATCTTGACGACTTGGCCTCCATTCGTACGCACTCGACAGAATGGGTACGTTCCTATCGATACATCCTTTCTTCGCCCCCCTAACGCTCATTTTTGTCCCTAGGATTCACTTTGGACCAAGTCGCGCCACGCATCGGAACGCGAGGTCCAAGTTCGCCTCGCCGCAATAGGTTTACCCACTAGCTCCGAAGGAGCTGTTGCGGCTCAAGCCACCTCTGTTAAGAAAGCGGTTATAGTAGCAGAGTCAGTCCAAGCGACCTCGTCCACAGCAGTACGGTCTACAGTCACCGTAGCTGGTGTTCCCGCCATCCTCGCTTCCCCTGGGGCACGCGTTGTTAACTCTGGAAACGTCACGAGCACCGTTGTAAGTGGAGTTGGGAATACTTACGGGAATAACACCTACGTAAATAGCTATTCGTACGATCCATCTCAGCATCAGCATGGTGGCTACGGCGGCTACGGTGGTGGCAGCACCTACGATCCGTCTCAATATCAACATCAACAAGGTGGCTATGGCGGATATGGGGGCAGCTCCGGCACTTCCTATCATAACTACTATAACTAGATCATGTGCCCTTGAGACATAGATTTTTTCCCCTTTTTTCACTCGTTTTCTTCACTTTACAACTAGATTTCATTGTTTGTTTCACTTAGTCAACCCTTTGTCTAGTCTTGTAGCCTGATATTGGACATCTCTCGATAATCATATTATTTATATAACCCATTTGATCGGAACCGACGTGAGTCTTGGGATGTGTTATAAAGCCCTTAGCTACTTATACCGAGTGGGGCTGTCAAGCAGCTGTACTTTTGCTCCGCCTGTGTAAGTACGTCACCTTTTGAACTGCAAAGTCTTTATCTTATCTTATCTTATGGACAGATCTTATCCGATTATCTTATCAGCCCACGACGTCGTGGTCATTGTTCTTCAATAGTATCTTGGTGGCGATCAATGTTATCGGGTGGCAAAGGGAGCATTGCGAGCCCTCATTAAGCTATGACTGAGTAATGTACAATGGTTTAATGTGCAAAAGCGGGGGGCTGTAATATGGGGAGACAAGACAAGGGAGGACATAATGAGGACAACGGCATACTACTTACTAGGGGCAAATGAAAGCGGAATCCGCGCGAGATGAGGAGGATACCGCACTAAGTGTACTGAACTGAGAGTAAAGATAAGAAAAAAAATCCTCGTCCCTGGAGAATGTTCACTTCCTCTTCCCACTGAACTTCCTTGTGACCATGGTCGCCCTCCGGCCAGGGAACGAGGATCTTGCACTATTGATGTACCCAGAAGACGACCAGGCGCCAACAGCAGCCTCGCTTTCCAGCGACAGCCTTCGTCGGCGCGTTGCCCTTTGATCCACAGGGTCTGCAAGCCTGACGCGCTTTCTGGGTGTCGGCATGGGTTTAGGAGCAGCCAGGGCAGGAGACGAGGGAGGAGAGAGCGGAAATGCTGTTACGGAGAATGACTGGGAGGTAGAACCAGTTGCACCACCAGCAGCTCTGGTGACGCGCGAAACGGGGAATCCATTGAGCTTGTAGTTCCCGCGCAGATCACGGTGCTCGATCTGCTGGGTCGCGGAGGGCTGGGCATGGAGGTTGGCATTGTTCGGTGAATAGGGGGCCTGGGACGGTGTGGGTGGTTGTGCTGGGGGAACTGGGAAGGTCGTAGTAGGGGGCGTGTATGGAGGAGTCGACGGTTGAAGCACGGGGGACCCATCGGTGTTGAACCCGCAATTCCCGCGCAGTTCACGGTGCTCGACTGGCTGGGTCACGTTGAACGCGGAGGCTGGCGATGGAGGTTGTCAATGGTCGGTAAATATGGGGCCTGGAACGGTGTGGGTGATTGTGCAGGAAGATCTGACAATGTCGTGGTAGCTGGCCAGTAGGCAGGGGTCGACGTTTGATAACCGCCGAGGCCACGGTATGGGACAGGTAGCGTGGCGTCAAATGTCGAGGGTTTGTGGAGACGACCTGCAGATATCTGGTGTTGGGGTGGTAGCAGACGGTGCAGAAGTCGCAAAAGTGTGTAAACCAAGAAGCATGGAAACCTCTTCTTCGTCGGCCTCGATCGTGTCGTCTGAGTGCTCATACCTGTAGTAGGATGATGGTCAAAAACGATCACATTAGGTATGCACCGAGATACGCAAATGAGGCGGCAACGACGAACCGTAAGGAAGAGTTCTCTCCATTTTGAGGCTGGATTACATCCATAAGGTCAAGGGCCGGCTGTAGCTGGTTGATAGTCCTATCCTCCGCTGAGGGGAATCCAGTTAACGCGATCAACGCGTGAATTGGCGCGAGTAGGTATGTCGGCATCGAAGAGGGCGTTTGTGGGTGGTAGTTCAAGAGCAATGCGAATCAAATAATCGTCGAGTGAGAGTGAGAGAGAGAAGGGGAAATTGGAGCATGCGGTATTTATGTGCCTGTGCCCCAGGCCACTCGCTCTGATAGCGGCGCCAGCCCTCATTGTTGTTGGATTGGAGCGTCTGTGCACAAAGCGCGAGTGGCAACGAGCCGTGAGGCTCGAGGTGCTTTGTCACCCGCATTCGCCGACAGAAAGATGACTCGGGATGCCAAGATATTTATATGTTGGATCTCATCTTATCTTGGCTACATGTAATCTTATCTGCATGAGGAGATCCCGGGCGCTCTCCGCCGATCCGTTTAGACCTAGAGACCTTCCCGTTGGATCCCATTTTCGCGCCTCCAACTGTATCGTAAACATACCGTTGCGCCAGCCCATGAGTATCCCTGTGTATGCTCAAACGTCTATGGGCCTAGAATTCCAAATATGCAATACGAATGTCTCGTGCCTGCATGCACAGATTCGCAGGCAGATTCGCAGGGTGATCCAGGACGTAGAGTTGCAAACATAAACGAATGGTTCCCGGGTTAGTTACCTTGGACTTGTATTCGTATACAACACCTCAGATCGTGCACCAGTCGCAATATTGAATAAGCAGAGTGCTTTCAACGTCCATGGGGCCGACGCCCCCGCCGGTCCCGCCTGAACGATGCACCGGGCGCATGGTGTAGTTGGTTATCACGCCCGCTTAGCATCTTGCTTATCTGCGGGCGGTCCCCGGTTCAATTCCGGGTGTGTCCACCACTTTCCTTTTGATCATTTCACCCTCGCGCCAGGGCCAAGGAATGGTGAATCGTGAGTGAGTGGAGGGCCTTGTCGTGTGTCGTGTTGGAGTGCCTTGTCGTGTTCGCACGAACCGATATCATTGATGCTCGAAATTATAAATGTGGACCTGTTGAGAGACCTGGGGCAGAAACTTGAGTAAGATTTATAGTATATCAAAGGAGGATGTCATTTCGTACCGTTCCATGGATAGATAGTGCATAGTCTCAGGGGCTGTGGTCAGTTTAAATTATGGTTTGGGTATTTGTGCTATCGAACTTTGTATTGAATGTTCAACTTTGTGTTGCCGCCGGGGCGAGCCTGGCTCTTCGATCCCGTGTAAGTGAAGTAAAAAGTAAGTGAAGTGAAAATTGTAGCTGTACTTGGGACTATGAGAACAAATGAGTATGATACATTGGGTGAAAGACTTGCGAAGCAAAGGGTAAGATGTAGCGGAATTATTATGATGGTGTGATACACTGTTGAGGGAAAGAAAAGAAAGTGAGAAATAAGAGTAAAGTTTCAGTCAGTACATTGCGCTGCCTTGGTAATGATACGGTACACAAATTCGCTTGCTGTACTGCGCGTCGCACGAGATGTTGCAGCAGTAGAGGTCGAACCAACCTTGTCGATGGAAATGCGAATCCTGTTGCCCGAAGTTTTCGCGAAGGCCTTTTTCGCGCCTACAGTCGCGCTGGCAGCTGCAGCAGTAGCAGTGGAGGGCGGTGCACCTCCTGAAGAGCGCGTGGCCAGAGGTGCGTCGGGTACTTTGCGTTGCTGTCGGGTCGCTGCCTTGGATCGAGTACGCGTAGCGGGGGTGTCCTTCAACGTGATAGGCTTGGGCCCGTCCTCCGTTTCGACTCTGTCGCGCTTGCGCCTGAGGCCGTTCATAGAGCGCAGGATGTGAGGCACAGCAAAATGCGGGTCCGGATTGGTGGTGGCATTATCGACTGTGGGGACCTCCTTGGTCAATTCGGCTGCTGCGAGAAGCAGGTGGAAGCCGGAGTTTGTGCCGGCAATAATCTTCGAAGTCTTCTCAGCGTGGTCGTCGTGGGCGATGGTAGGTGCCTTGGGCAGTTTGGAGGAGGTGGAAGCAGCTTCCGTGGACGAGCCGAGATTTTGCTGTGCTCCAGCGACCCTCATTCGGGAAGCCACAATTGAAAGCCGCAGGACGCCGTTCTTCCGGGCACTCTGGTATATCTTCAAGGTCTCCCTAAGCTCGACCGTCAGTCCTGCGAAGAGGCCACAGAAATAGAAAGGAT